TTACAGACCCACAGATCCACAGATCCACAGACCCACAGACCCACAGACCCACAGACCCACAGACCCACAGACCCACAGATTCACATACCCAGATCCACAGACCTAGAATCCTTCACGCACGACGGAGGCAGAACTTCTGCAAATAACTTTCGATGCACGAAATATAATTTAGTGCTCTCGACTTCCGAAACAGAATCCGTCGGACAAGAAATGGGAGACGGGAGCTCCATTGGATCCTCATTTCCTCTTCGCTGCATGCGGGTGAATCGCTTTCACCAGGGCTGGTTTCCGTCTCGGATCCGATTCGCGAGGAAAATCGGTAGAAATAAGTGGAAGGCATGCTCGGATATGTGTACACGAGCGGTTCACGACAGAGATACAGTGAAAACTCGTTAACTCGAACTTTTAGGGACCGGGCAAATCGTCATTGAACTTCGAGATAAGCGGAATTTCGACTTATCAGGATTCGAGTTAACGAGTTTTCACTGTACATTCTTTTCCTCGTTTCGATTCGTGAGAATAATCGGATCCGTTAATTGACAGATCCAGATAGACGGGCCGGTCCCCACGACATCGCGGTTCCGTCTCGTCTTTCCCTGTTTCCGGTAATTAATCGTAAAGACGAAAGGTGAACGGAGCTCCTTCCTTCGCTCCTGCCGGTCGGACTTCGCAGGGCGCCGCACTTCGGCGATTCGTGTCGTCGCTGCGAAGCATGTCGAAAAGAGGAGCGGGAAATGGAATGGAGACATAATGGAGTGAGTTGGTCGATGGAGAGAATCCAAGAAACCCTGGTCATCCTTCACAGGAGCCGATAAGCCACATGACGGCTTCACTTCTGGTGTCCTTCCCTCCCTTCCCCTTCCCTCCCTATCGATTCTCCCTTCCCCCCTTTTTTTTATTTCATTTTTTTTTATCTGATGTCCTCCCTCCCTTTCCTAGCAGGCATTTACACCCGAGTCGCCGAAAGATAGGCCAGGGTCGGGGAGGAAAAGGAAAATCCTCTCTTCCGGGATCACGGACTCTCAGGCGTTGGCGCTTCCTCGTCTCTCTAATTAGAGTGTGACTTTCCTCATTCCACGCGTACGAGACGTATCGCTTCATAGGGGACCGTCAATCACAATCGGTAGGTTCACAATAGATGTCGAGGGTTTCAAAACGTATCGAGCCGAAACCTTTCCACTTTAGAAAGTCGCATCCTCGAGAATCATGTGATGGGTGGCGAATTAAAGCATAATTGGGGATCATTACAAACAATTTAAGGTAATCGAATGTTCGCCTTAAATACCTGGAGAAGCATAACCGCTTGGAAGTCGCCCTTTTCGCTATGGGAGAGACCTGGAAGACAATGCAGACCTTTAGCAATGTGCTCTCGGTTTCTAGCGAAGTGATATCCCTCAATTATCTCCATTTTCGTGAGGCCTAGAACGTATCAATCTTTTTTTGTCAGATACCACGGAACTCCATTTGCAAAGAAAGTGCCTGGTTTCGGGTCCATACATGCAATGGTTCCCGAGCGTTGCGAGCCGTTTCGCGGGTAGTCCTTAAATTTTCCAAGCATAAAACCCACACGGCGCAGTGATATCCCAGGGATGCCCCTGACCGGTCGACTTGTCCCTTGGTCTTTAAACATCTTCAGTCGGTATCTTAGAGATATCCCTTTCGGGATATCTTTAAGACATCCTTAGTCGAATGCTTCTGGATATCTTGAGAATGTCTTCGGGACATCTTAGGGATGTATTTAGGGATCTTCAGAGTTCTTAGTCGCCTTCAGTCAGGTGCATACCTTCGACAGTTGATGTCTCCTGTGATCCCTGATCTGCAACTTCAAATCTTTTCTATCAAATTCATCTACTTGATTTGCCCCGAGGATAAGTACGGATTTTCGTACCGTACATTAGGAAAACTGCCACTAGGGAAAGTGAAAATATTGCGGTTCAAATTGTAATTTATTCCGTTATATTCTATTTAATGAAGTCTGATCGGCATGTCTGGTTACAACTATCTTGGTTGGAGGCCTGATCCCATGTGCTTTTGAGGCGTAAGGCTAAATCATGTCGTCCATGACCCCTCGTGGAAAGGTACTGTACTAAATTTCGTCCCTTAGAGAAGTGTCTCCTGTAATGGGGTCCTTTAGGAACAGAATTTTCCTCCCCATAATCGTCACTCCTCGATCGGTCAAGAACTTAAGATTAGGTTTTCCTATTTCAAATGGAGACGTCTTCGAAGGCAATGAGTTCATTGCGGAGAGGAAGGCGCCTGCAAGTACTACCTGGGACTTTCACTTGTCCCTAGGCGATATCTCAGGGGACATCCTTCGGATATAGTTGTGCTGCAAGAAAGAGACATTCTTGGGATGTCTCTTTCATTTTGACATCCCTCAGATGTCCCTAGAAGTCAACTCTGGGACCTCTCAATTGTCCCAAGGGGATATCTTAGGGATATACTTGTGCATTGTGGGCAGGGGCAGTCAGAAAGTCCGTGCCGTGACTCCTAAAGTATATAAAGTTTCCCAAAGCCACTTCCCTCACTTCTCAATAGTTTCCTTCTCTCTCTGCACGCAGTTGTCATCGTTTTAACCAGTCTTTATAGCATTCGGCAGAGTGATATTTCGGTGTATGTTTGTACCACTGCTAGACTGCAGAGCTCGTCTTCGAGGATATTTCTTTCCTTGCAACGAATCCTTGAGCTTGACAAACGGCCAGAAGTCACTAGGAGCAAGATCTGGCGAATTGGGAGCATGTGGTAAGAGTTCGATACTCCTTTCAGCCAAGAACTCCGTCACAACGGGCAGTGTGCGGTGATGCGTCTTCCTGGTGCAACTTGAAATTTCCACCGGCCAGTTCCGGGCGCAACTTCGAGCAGGTGTCGGTATACACGCCATGGATGGTTTGACCCTTAAGAACGGCGAGACAAAATCAAGCCTAGTTTATTTCAGAAAATGGCATACAGAATCTTTTCATTTGAAACAACTGGTCGAAACTTCTTGGGTGGCGGGGAATAGGTGTGTTTCCATCGTTTTAATTGCCTCTTGATCTCGGGATTGCAAAGAGGAATCCATGTCTCATCCATAGCGAACACACGGTGCATGAAATTCGTTGGGTATGACGCATCTCGTGTCATCGAGGTAGAACTGTCCAGACGGCTTTGCTTTGTGCCCTCGGAAGGCACGCGGGGCAGTTCCTAGCGAGAATCCCAGGGAAGTGAGTAGGCCTACCAAGTGGGCACTCACTTTGCTCGTATTCGGCTCATCTGACAGAATCTTTGCAACGGTTTCGGGAGAGAGTCAGAGTCTTCCTGCGATATCGACGGATGTTTTGGTCGGAACTCGCAGTTTTGGGTCTTCCAGAACGGGGCTCGTCTTCGATGGAGACTTCCGGCTGCGAACTCCCGCACTCACTCGCGGACGGTGCCATCTGCGAGGCAGGAGTCCCCATACTTCTCTTAGCAGTCCGTGAATGTCCAAAGGTCTCTCTTTATGCGTCGCGAGAAACTTCACCAAAACTCTTTGCTCTTTTTTGATCGAGGAATGCGTTTCAACAGTCGAAAACATTTTACTTTTGAAAAAACTGACGCCACACTTGTAACTGTCGCCAAGTACGGCGACAGCGTGCTTGAGTTTCCGTAACTGATTATAGTTTCACCCTTTCGAGCCTGGCGGGACTCAGGAGTCCCGCATCTTTTTATCGGCTACACAGGAATGCACGACCTTGAGGCCTGGCAGGACTTCCGAGTCCCTCTGACCTTTTTTGGAATTTGTATTTTTGTGGTCAGTGACGTTTCATTGTGGGCGGTTGAATGAGGAAAATTTGTTTTTGCCTAATATATATATTTAAATTCGGATCTTAAAAGGTTATGGATGACTCATTTTTGTTAATGTATGAAGCGACTTATATGATCACTTAGTCTAATCAGCGCAGGCTTTTGTCGGCGTTTGTGTGAATGCTACTGCTTGAAAATTGCCAATCTCCATAGTCCTTTACAAATTAAGAGTAAGAGGCAACGTGGTGCAGTGTTCAGTGGTCCGGGCAGGATTCATCCATCATCCCAGCAAACAAGGCTACGTTGGACCAATGTTGTACCAAGGTTAAGAACGTTGATTAGGTTGATTTAACGTTGATTCAACGTTATGTGTTTCAAATGGTTTGCTGGGATCGTGTCCACCTCCAATCGTCCTTATCTCCTTCCATGCTTTCATCAAATTTCCCATTATTTCACTCTGAGGATTTAATCCAAGGAGGCTCGCTACGAGCTAGAGTAACTGCGTTTTTCATTTGCCCGAAATATCGTTATTCTACTGCATAGATGATAGATACTTTAACTTGACGATGACAGCATGCGCTTTCGAACCTCTCGGTCTTCCTCCTTGAACCAGTGGCGTAGCCAGGATTTCGCCAAAGGGAGGGCTAAAGGAGCCGGGGGGGGTGCTAGAATTTCCCCAACTTCTCCAAGGGAGGGGAGGGGGGGGGGGGGCTAGAACTAAACTTGGGGGGGCTTCAGTCCCCCCAAGCCTCCCCCTTCGCTACGCCACTGCCTTGATTCGAACCAGACTGGCACAGGGGAGTGAAATCGCGGAACAGTCGAAGGAACATATTACTCTCATCCGGACGTGGACGTGCTGACCGGATTCGGATGCGGAAGGAGAAAGAAAAAAAAATAAAGAAAAAGGAAAAAAAGAAGAGAACGAAGGAGATACCGGCGCGGAATCGAAGCTGCGGAAAATCGGGAAGAAAATTTTCTCGCTTCTATGAAAGCGAAAGGTAATCCCGTTATCTGACGCTTTCCAGCCTCCCCCATTCTTCTTCCACTCCTTTCTCTTTTTCTCCGTCCTCCTTCGCATTTCTAACTCCTCTCTTTTTCCGAATTCCACCCTCGACATCGGTCCATCCTCACATTTTACTTAGCCTTCGATTTAAAGGCCCAAATCAGCCCATAACGAGTCCGTCAAAGTTGGGTTCTTCCTACGCTGCATTACTCTGGCACTATCAGAATAAAAAGACGCATTCGTGTTAAATACCAATGTAGCACTTCATACACATTTAATGAGAAAAAGAAATAATACGAGTAAAGAAAATTAATAACAAAAATTTCGCGAGCAGACACAACACAGGTACTTTAACAGGCATTGGGGGAAGAGCAACAGATTGCACGGAAGCTCTCAAGCGACGAAAGAAAAAGTTCTGCGTGTGACCCTCTTCTGGTGACTAAAAAGCCTTCCTTCAATAATAAAAAATGAATATATAAAAGATTTGCTTCAAAAGTATATAGGCCGATTGGAGGACCAGTCTTTTCAAGTAGAGAATAATTACGCTGATGAGACCATTATTTTGAATCCTTCATCCTTACGTTACAGTGGGACAAAATGAGCTCACGTGAATTCAACTGAAGTAGTTACAATTGAATTCTGCTCAAGGCTGGGATAAATGAGATCATCATGTCTGGGATGGAAGGGCAGATCAAACACAAATGAAGCATGCCAAGGGCATTGATAATCAATAAGGAGGAATGTGGAAACATGAATATTGCAAACCATGATAAAGGAAAACAAGTCAAAAACATCTCTCCTTCAAAACATCTTCCTTGGTACAGCAACTTTTCACAGTCGTTTTCTCATAGGCACATCGGTGGCGGTCTTCAAACTGCATGGATAACTGTAAATATTTGATTCAATCACTAGTCTTAGAACATCATCACAGGATACAAAAAAGGAGAAGACATGATTGGAGAAGGTCCATGATTGGACACGAAAGGAGCCAATAAGGGAGTGACTTTTATTTCTGAAGCTGGACGTAGTTGGCTGGGAAGAGCCCAACGTGACCCCTGCACATTCCTTGCCACCATCCTTCGTCAATCTGGGGGGAGGGGGGGACAAAAGAATTTGATATCTAAAAAATCTCACAAAAGTATCTGCATACCAAATGCCAAAAAATGCTATAAATCAAACATGGGTTTCCAAGAGAAAAGAAAACAGGCTTCTGTTGCCAAACCATTTTCCATCTTTCAGAAACCCATGTTGAAATCTTCTATGGACAATGGTAAAGCACCACATTTTTGGCATTTAGTACATATTTTTTGCAACTACAGGCCTACTCACCATTTGAATGTTTGTGATGATATCATCAGGATCAAATGAAAGCTCATCTTCATCAGCTAGAGGAATAAAGAGTTTTCCTGATCAATTTTGTCAACAACAACAAGCCATCCATCTAAATAGACCTAAAAACATCAAGCCTTTTTAAATGCTCATGGCGATTCTATGAATCACATGCATTCCCTGTAGGTACTCCTTCACAGAAAAAGAACTGGGAGCACCCTGAGAGGAGTACATCTGGCTTTATAGAGCTCCAATGCGGCTTTTCAAAAGAAAACTCACCAGCTTGATAGTCATAGAGGGCAATGGCAGTAATGCCAGTGTCAGCAAGCTCTTCAGCTTCATTGTAAGTCCCCACAGCCTGGAAAGGAGGAACAGATAGAACAACCACCTGTACTGCAGGTCCATATGGTATTATCAGACTTCAGGACTTGAACCATGCATATGGGAAACCTGATTATGGTTCTTCCTCTCTTCTTCCTCTTCCTCTTGTTGTCTTCTCAACTCTTCCCTCAATCTCTCTTCCTCCTCATGACGAATTCTCTCCTCTTCCAGGCGATGTCTCTCTTCTTCCATCTCCCTCTCCTGTTTCTCCATCTCCCTCTTCTGTTTCTCCAACTCCCACTTTAACTGCTCCTCCTCTCTCTTCTTTTCTTCTTCTCTTTGCTGCCACTGTTCTTGCATCCTCCTTTGCTCTGCCCTCTCTCTCTCCTCTTCTTCCTTATGCAATCTCTCCTCTTCCAGAGATTGCCTTTGAGCTTCTACATTTATAAGATGAACTGCAAATTTAATCAACTCTACCCACTAGCAGAATTTGACAGGCTATGATCCTAATGGGCAAAAGCATTACTAAACTGTATCAGTAAAGGAATGAGGATGGGCATCATATTAAGAGTAATTCAAAGTATTAATACCCTGGCAAGAGTTACAACAGAATAGGGGGGCAAGGATATCAGCTTTTGCCCAAGTTCAGTGGATGGAAAACTTGATAATATAGCAAAATCCTAAGAAATTGAGTATTTTCTTATCGGCTATCAATAATTCCAGATCTGCAGTGGATCCTTGAACAGGTCAGGCTCAGGTTTACATTACATGTAAACCTGAACCACCCAGGCTAAATTAATGTCCACCATACCTCACACACTTCATTCCTCCCTTCATGGTATATCCTGTGCCTACATACCATCCTCCATGCACACCATAGGTTAGTGCCATAGGTTAGTGCATAAAACACCTGGAGTATGAGCAAAAGCATGGAATAGCATTTTGGAATGGTAAGAGTGAGTGTCAGATTTTCTTATGTTCCTTTTTTATCCTTAGGATATTATCACACAGATGTTCCTGTTAAGCAGGATTACCTCCATCTGCCATGTAATCAGCCAGCACTTTTAAAAATTCCCAGTAAGCTAAAAGAAACAAATAAAACAACTCTCTTTGAAATTCTGTGATGTTTACAAAAGAGCAGGTAACATAACAATGCTTTTAGATAATTACTTCTATATGTAATTTGAAAATTCTAACATTTTTGCTTGCTTACTATAGCCATTTTACAAAAGAAATAATTTCATAAAGGCAATTCACATTTTACTTTAGTCCTTGTGCCAAGAGACTGACTATTGGACCTGTAACACTGGCTAGGAATGACAAATCATTTGGGCAGTTTTTTTTCCTCTGCACTTCTGAGGCTTCTTCCATAGATATGCAATTTTCTTCAGTTTGAGCTATTTTTGTTCTACCACTCCTCTTCCACACAGATAAACCAATTCCTTACATTTTGTCAATCTGTTCATGATAGGCCTTCATTTCTTCCATTCTTTACAGGGAATTCTAACTCAGTCCCATCCTTTCATAGAGTAACATTTTCATGGATAGATGAAGGAACTCCTACACCATATTGGGCCACAATATGCACACCACTCTCCTGCTAATACTTTTCCTTGCACAAAAATAACATGAGTTGCTTTAATAAAATTGCATGTGGTAAAACAACTGGAAAATTTTGATGGAAATAATGGAATGTTCTGAGGATACATAGATGCAATTATTTAAAAAATTCTTGTGTAATCTGCTTTTTCAATAAATACCACAGAATTTCATAAAGCAGTACTTTTTTTGGGTCACCCTGTAGTTGTGAATCATACCAGAAAACTAAAAAATTCTAAGACCCATCACTCTGGAATGCTTCACTTCTGCAATAAGGAGATAATAATGTGAGACTCCCTCCCACAGGAGAGAAATGGAACTCCATGTCCAAAGATATGTGCTGAAGTGTGATTTCACTAGGGGCAATCATGAATGAAGGGAAATGCTGTGAATATGGTATGAACAAAGGTTGTAGGTGCAAGACATACTCTTTGAACCCTTTCAATGTCAGATTGAATGAATAAAATAAATAAAACCATGCTTTGATGTGTCATCTTGAAGATCCCTCTTTGCTGCATTCTATAGTTCTTGTTCTGTCAGCATATCTTGGATACATGCACAGTTTGCATACAGAAAGATGGGAGCATGATGATTTGAGCTTAGGCAATGAATGAGGGGAATGATGAAGGAGAGAGGACTAACATTAACCCTTTTGCTTTTTACACAAATACAGACTCAGGCTGCACATGATGCTTTCATGGTGGTAGCCTGAGTATGTACTTAGGCTCTGAAAGTCAGTGTTTTTAAACAGTGAAAGGGTTAATGTATGACTGAGGTACACATTACCTTGCAGTTCCTCATAGGCCTAAGTTCATAAGAAGGGGTTTGTATAAATACCAGGCAAGTCTAGACATTGCCTCATAGATCTCAGCCTAGTGCTCTTATTAGTTCCCCACCTCAAGTGAAAAAAATGAACGAAAATTATTCGATATTGAATTAACCTTGATTAATGCCTGATGTCATAATATCAGTTGAAATCTGATACTGAGAAAATATATAAAGTATTTTTTGGGGTGTTTTTCATTTCATTAGCCTATGGAAATGTGAAAGAACTTCTGTATGATCCTTCCCAAAACAAGTATGAAGAGACCTTGCTGCTCCTCAAGTCTGTGGCGCATTGTTGCTTGCTGACTATGAGCTGCAGCTTCCAGCTCCTTCATCTTCCTCTTCCTCTCCTCTTCTGATCGTCGAGCCTCCTCTTGTTCAGTCTGATCCCGAGAGGCTCGTCTCCGCTGTTCATCTTCCAATGTTTTCTTGCTTTCTTCCTCATTTTGGCGGGACAGGTTCTCAAATTTAGCTTTCAAACTTGATGCACGTGCCCCTCCTGAATGAAAAAAGAACAAGAAAATGCATTATAAATGGAAAACTGCAAAATTCAACCATGACAGAAGTACTGCAAAGCTGCACCACACATACCTATTTCAGGGACAGTTTTTTTGTATGCAGTGCCAATTTTCTCAGGTTCATCAAAACCATGAGCTGATGTGTCAACACGATCCTGCTCTAAACCATATTTTCCTCCAAATCCCTGAAAATAATGAGAGCATCTAATAGAAGAAATATTCTCCAGTAAACAAGGTGAATTGACTGCTGAATTGGAAGAAGCATTACCTTAGCATAGTCAGTTGTGCTTGTGTGTCGGGGGGCCCTCTCATGATAATCCCAGCCAACTGCTGATTTATCTTGCCTGTCACTCTGAACTCCATATTTCCCTCCAAAGCCTTTTGTGTAATCTTCAACATATTTCATAATTTCATCAGATGCTGAGGCCTTGTAAGTACTATCTACTAGGGATGCACTGATACCGATCCAAAGTATCGGTATCGGCCGATACCTATATGACCGATCCAATCCGATTTTCCCTTGTCGCACACCATACTTGACATGAAGTGCGTAAATTTTGGGAACGTCTCAAGGAAAAAAACCCACTTGTAATGGCATATGGTTCCTTAAGTCTGTCATAGTTCTTGTTAATCTCCTACTGATGGACAATGAGTTTGGGCATGGTTAAAGCAGAATGCGAGAGATTTGAGAAGGGCATTGTACAAATGGAATGGGCCAGAGTCATTCACGTATGCATTCATTCTTTCACTTTCCCCCATTCCGTCCCATCTCCTGCCTTCCTGTGCTGACTGGTTTGCGCAGGTGCACTTTGTGCTCACATCCATCCCACCTCTGGCTCTCCCCTCGAGCACCAATCCCAGTTGTAGTTGCATCAACTCCTTAATCCCTTAAGGACATGAGACGTAGTTCCTACGCCTACTCCTCTTCGCACTAATTGTCCTTTATTCGTAGTACATACGTCCGACGTATTCTCGCCTGGCCCAGTGAATGGCGGGGGAAGTTTTGGCCTATACTGAAGAAGTTAATTTATTGGCTGATGTAAATGTCTCCAGAGCTAAATAAATGACAGGAATTTTGAATGTTGGGTCATTAGTGTCTGAGGATTTTTTATTTCTTCCCTTCCACACCAAAGGTAGCACAAAGGTCTGGTCCTGTATTGTGGTTTCACTTCTGACAGCCACTGGGAGCTGTCTGTATCAGTATCGGTATTGGATCGGCTGATACCAAGACACTGAGATCGGTATCGGTATAGTCTAATCCTGGATCAGTGCATCTCTACTATCTACTAGGACCAATCACGCTTCACTTTGGAAAAGAATCTTACCTTTCTGGGATTCATGTTTATCCACCTTTTCATTGTAATCCCACCCAACAGCTGATGGGTCCTGACGATCAGTCTGCAACCCATATCGACCTCCAAAACCAACTGAGTAGTCTGGCACATATAAAGATTTTCTTTATGCAAGAGACCTAAAAAAAAATGGAGCAAGGGATATAGGAAAAAGAGGTATATGTGATCACCTTTTTGGGATTCATGCTTCTCCAATTTTTCAACATGATCCCAACCAACTGCTGACTTGTCCTGGCGGTCTTTTTGAACTCCAAACTTCCCACCAAATCCACTTGAATAGTCTTTCTGGGAAGCATGCTTCTCCACCTTCTCCAAATGGTCCCAACCAACAGCACACTGATATCAGAGAGTAAGAGATATAATCATGGATTTACATGGTACTGAATGAAATTATATGCTCAGTCTCCTGAGTAAAAGAGGACTTTATTCCATCTGTGGAAAAAGAAGAGAGGGGAGCAATTTCTCTGAGGGTGAGGAAGCAGACAGTTTCTGATGTCTCTTCAACTTCTTCAACACATATAGTTTTTTGTTTTAGCTCAATATTTACTGTGAATTACCTCTTGAATGCTTTCAAAAGAACTCATTTGCCCACATTCAGTTCAAGAGCAACATCAAATTCCATAACTCAACTTCTGATGGATTTGGAGAATTTTTGGAGCAGCAAAACCTACCATAGAATCAGCTCAACCTATCAACATATTAACCCTCTTACTGCTGAGTATTAGGCAGCCAGTTGCCCCTGCTGTGCTGGGGTTATCTATGTGCTTTAACTCAATTAACAGCTGCTCAAAAGTAAGGTATTTATCCTGTGTGCACCAGGAAATCCAAAAAGAAACCTTGTTCTTTTATGAGGATTAGGGTTGCCACCCGTTCATAATTAGTATGGACAGTTCATATTTCAGATGCAATGTCCATACTGCAAACTTGTCTTAATATGAACATTACTTCATCAATACTTAAAACTTTTAAAGGCTTTGTTAATAAAACTTGGGAAACATGGGATGCATTAAATCAAGATGTTTTCATGCATCCCTTGAAATCAGACCACCGTCTTACTGGACCTGAAACAAGAAAGAGACTAGTTTTCCCAAGAATCAGAATTTCCTTATTTAGAAATAGCTTCCTCCTGAGATGCCTGAAAGGATCTCACTTTCTTACGTTGTGACAACTCAAGTGATGACGGTTTTTACTTTTCCCCTAAATTATCTCTATTTTTAGTGTTCTATAAATGTGGACCATTACGAGCTGAACCTAGGCAAATAAACCTATTTACCGATCTATCTACCATAAAACTTAATAGCAGCCAAAACCACTCTTTTCTTTGAGCCAGAGTAGTATGCCACACTCTTGTAGCATCTATTGGTACTTTGGGGAAAGGTGGCTGTAGATATTTGAAGCAGAGTCACAAATGCAAGTATATTTAATATATTTATCCCTATTTCCATATGTCCCCTGACAATGTCCATATTTTGCTAATTTCAAAGGTGGCAACCCTAATGAGTATATGCATTAACATCTTCCATATCTTCCTTCACATCAGCTTCTGTAGTACTAGCATATGGTTGAGCAAAATTACAGATATAATAAAGTCACTGTCTTCATTATCAATTATTTTGTATTCAGAATTACTGTCAACCAATTAAATTCCCATATTGTTTTCACTAAATGAAAACATGCCTTATCTATTGGTAGATAAGGCATGTGTTCATGTGTTTACTTTGGAAACTAATATTCAAGAATGTCATCTTCCAAAAATAGATATACCTCATGTATCCCTTGCTTTAAACTGTTCCAAAAAGTCCACAAGATAGCAGAAGGTCCCTGTGTGCTATGTGATCAGAAGCTGTGGCTGAGAGACATAATAAATTCATGAATCCAAGATGAGTTAAGATGTTGAGCTAGCACACAGTGGGAGTTGGAGCACAATGTGTTAATTTGTTGTGTAGGCAGAGAATGGGTTAAAATGAAACTTATGTGCCCAGTTACAGTATTGGTCCTAGCATTATGCCAACTTTTATCACTCAACTCTTCATAGCTTTGGAGAAGTTTTGAAATATTCATCCTTCCACCAAAAAGGATAAAAGTGAATCTTCCTGTTTTCATTTAGATGTGGTAGGGGAAGAAAACTTATTCCCCAATTAACCACAAAAATTAACATGTCCTTTAAAAAAAATGATAAAAAGATTTTTTTTAAATATCAAATTCTTGCAAACCACAATAAGAATACAGGATACAGCCTTGCAGCATAGGGGAGTGACTCTACATGCAATTGCAGCATCAAAAACTCACTTTGTCAACACGGTCAGCTTGAACTCCATATTTCCCACCAAATCCAGTGCTGTAGTCCTTTTGAGAGGCATGCTTCTCCAACTTCTCAATGTGGTCATGTCCTTTGGCACACTTATCCATTCTAGAATAAGTCACAATGAAATTAAATATTCCAATGGTCAGTCTTCTGAAGAGAGAGAAACTGTATCCCATTAGTGATGTGAGAAAGCAGAACCTTACATAGTACTCAGCCAGCTACTTATGCCACCTCTTGACATGAGTTAACCATTTCAACTTTTGTGAACTTTACCTATAAATGTAGCTACAATAGTAAATACCATACTTTTAAAAGGAAGGAAGTTTCATGACTCTCAAATCATGAAACTTCCTTGTGTATGACTTTCTCCATGCAACAGAATTGCATGTGAAACTGTACCCTAATCTGTTGTGCAAATGAGCTATAAATAAAAAAATTGCTTCATGAAACTAAGTAAACTAAGCAGATCACCACCAAATTTCATCCCCAGTTCCTGACAAGATCAAAAAATTTCTTTAAACACATGCCCATATTGCTTAGTGTTGGAAGTATGAGAAAAATAAAAAAAAATCTATCAAGTGTTGAATAAGTTCAACTTCATTGCTCTAATGCTAGAAAGCAACATGTATTTTCCTTCATAATTATGAATGGTAGCAGGACCTTTTTTTTTAAGAACTACTACTAAGGATCATCTCAATAAAACATTCATGAAAAATAGCCTTTATTTTAGGAAAATGGGATATTTCTTCCTGGCTCATATGTAGGTCCATATCTTCATAATTTCATAACATTCCCTTCCTATTGAAGCCCTCTATTGCAGGGAAACTCCAACGCTATCTCCTCATCATGAGAATATGGAATATTTAACTTTCATGTATCTAGAACTTGAGACAACACAATAAGCTAACCTGTCTGTCTCGACACCAAATTTTCCTCCATAGCCAAAGGAGGCCTGAGGACCAGCTTCCATCTGTTTACGCTTTAACTCAGCGTCATCCTTCTGGATCTCTTCTCTGAACTGCTTCATGCTGGAGGAATGTAGTAAAACAGGGAGTTCAATCAATAAGGAAATGCAAAAGGATCATGAAAATGGTGGCTAGTGGTGGGAAGCCATGTTGTAATCATGCCAACCTTTGATGCCATGTTTTTGAAGAATATTGATTTCATCACCACATGGTCATCCAATACATTCAGAAAGATGGCAGTCCTATTACAATTTCCAGAAACTAAGCTCATTCCAAGATCTACATAGAGGCATGAAGTACACCAAATATGGATTGGATGTATTTGCTTGAATGGCAGTTCTGAGAGTAGAGAATGACCAAGGACAGGAGTGCAAAGTAGCTTGCTGATATTGAAGTATGGCATAAAATTATTTGCAGGCCATGCAAGTACCCACTCCCAAGGCTATCCAGACTATAAGGACAAGTACACACATCAAAGTAATTAACCATCCATGAACTGAATAATGAAATCGTGTATGCAATTTCTTCCCCATTCTTCTTTGGTATGGCCATTGCCTCCTGTATTCTACTTGGGTATGGCTAATGTTACAGCTTCACAACATAGGGTGAATGAATGCAAAAAATGAAGTTTCCAAGTAGCCAGATGAAGTTGTTTCAGGTTGTTTCAGATAGATAGAACTCTGGTTCACACAAGGTTAAGGGATGATGTCCAAAAAGCATGGTTCTGCACATCTGATTTTAATCATTTGACTCTGACTGGTTTTATTTAATTCATGCAAATGATATGACATATTATGGCAACAGGCACACAGAGGCCAAAAGACCTTATGATGCATGGAATTCTTGTCCTGCAAGCCATGCTCACCACTTCCCCATCACCATCAATCATTCTGTCCACTGTAGGTTTAATCTGCATGTGTCTGTTCCAGTAGCTGTTTGCAACATGTAGAAGGTATTAGATCATTGATGGAGGTAAGGTAAGTGTAGGCCTATCCAACCAATATTGATGATCTACTACTGTATGTCATGAGCTGCACTGGTGTGTTCAAATACCCAACACTGAAGTCATGCCTGGGTGCTGTACCATAATCTCTCATGCATGTCATGTATCATGTGCAAAAACTTAATAAGAATTGCCCCAAAGGCTTGTGTAGAACCATGCTCTTGGGGCAGTATCTATTGTTTTGATGTGTGTAGATATATACATATATGATGTCTACAAGTTGGACTGACTCGATGGCTCCAACCGAGCGACCAACACCTTTCGGACCCCATCGCTGCTCTTCCTCTGTCACATCATTAACATAATCTGGATCTGTTTCCCAGTCATCATTTTCTGCATTTCCAGATTTTGTTCCATTTGTGGAATTTCCTTTGACATCATGACCCACACCTGCTCGCCACATTCTTGGAACCCTGGTTCAAAACCTCTCTTCAAGGAAATGTAGATCTGTGATGGACCTAATACAAATGGAAATATGCCCTTAATGCAACAAACAAATAAAAATGGGAGTGAAAATTCAATTATAAATTCATTGTCTTCACACACAATGCAAAGCACACTATTCAATATTGTGCTTCTTTACTGGAGCTGTTTTCTCAGGCAGCTCAAGCAATCATTGATGCTTCAGTCACAGGAGATACAGTAAATTATTCAAAAACTTCCTATATTATATTTTGTAAATCAATCATTTTATTAATAACAGGAATGCAAAAGTCAACAAAGATCACTAAAAAACAAATAGGCCAATAGTATGGCTATCACACTGAAGTATTCCAACAGTAAATGGCAAAATAATGTGAGTAGGTCATCAAAAGCAACCAAAAGAAGCAATAGTTTCACAATACTCCTGAAACCTGAGTGAGGATTAAAATGGAACAAAATAACGTTTGACATAATATTAAAGATGATGTGAATACTACATGAATTGTGAAATGACTGACCAACATAGAGGCAAAATTGAGAAGTTGGAACTCATTCTCTTTTATAATTGCAACATAGGAGCTGTGAGAAGCAGTTTTCAATTGAGTTGCCATTGCTTCACCTCTCCCATCCTCTGCTTTCACTATAAAATTCAGCTTACAATTAAAAGTCTATTTTATGAATTTATTGAGCATGACAGGAATCTACTATAGGAGCAAGAGGCCAGCATTCAAGTGTGAAAAAGGAGTGTTCAAGTATGTATCAGAAGCAACAGTAGCACAAGTCCAACAAGAAATGGATATAGGATGATGTTTCTTGCTCTCCCAATGCTAGATAGGCCTACTTACTCTAAGAAATAGCATTTACTTTTTTTTAATGCCTGTAATAAAATGATTCAAGAACCCAGATGACTTAATCATTAACACTCATTACATACCACAATTATGATATTGCATCGTATCTTGAATTCATAATGTTCTGAAATTACACAATGAAAAAAAAATCAAGGAAGCACTGACTGATTCCTTGCTTCTGAAAGGAACAGGTATTTTTAATATCATTTCTCCATGTGTATCCAGTAAATAAAACAAGTGCAAGTTGTCTACAGGTAGAAGGGGGATAAAGCAAGTTGTAGGCATGGCATAGCCATAGATTCAGGTGAGAAGAGATAACAGACTAAACAGACTTCCTTTGGTATTCATATAAAGAGATTATTTGTGCTGAAAATGTTGCGATATAGATTCCACTTCATTCCATATGAGTCATAAATATAATTGAAGTGGTCATCTGCATTTTATGCTTTGAAAAATACAATAATGTGAGATGCATATCTTTCCTATTGTGGTAGAAGATATAGGGCAACGAGGTTGCACATATTCCTTGATCAAGAGATGTATATATCCTTGCCACTCTTCATCAAGTTCTTTCAACATAGCATGTTCTCTGATATGGAAAATATCACTCTGAAATGTAACATTTTTGGATAATTTATACATACCAAAGGAATTCAATTGCATTCATGATGAACAACAATAATAACAGAAGAAAAGTTGAACATTAGTGGAGTCTTTATTTGACATCTACTTCCATTCAACACTCTGCAATATATCACCTATATTTTTTTACCCTCTTGGAGCTCTCTAACCTCTTCCAAGGGTCAGTGGTGAAGATCATAGGAAAAGAGAGTGTATGTGTAGTATTTTCATGGTGTACCATAAACTAAACTCTTATTCTGAGTTTTTTACAAATTAAAATTTACAATCTTTTTTGCATATGCTATGATGATAAATTATTGAGTGTGTTATAATGGTAAAATACTAGTAACTTACTAAGTCCTGGATAAGGCTCAGAAATAAATAATTGATTGCAAGTGTATACTCATGTATGGGATCAACAAGGAAAACTGAAAAACGAGTAAACTTGAGCAATGGAGTAAAAGGTTTAAAGCAGATCTATTGCATGCAATTATGGAGCTGTAGCCTTAAAATTTTCTCCTAGGCATGAAAAACAAACACTTCACAAAATAAAGTCAGGACCAGAGGAGGAAGAGATTTCACAATAACTTAACTTAAGCTTCTCTTAACCAGTTAGAGGCAAGGATAATCCCATGAAAGGCAGCCTGAAGAGCACCAACATCTCTTAGATCACCACATAGACATACATTTTAAAAAAGATACTCTGAATGAAGACTAAAAAGCCACAATGATCATGATACTGCTGAATACCAGCATGTTAATATATGTCAACAATGAATCAATGGATTTATCCACTAGGATTTCCATCCTTCAACAACAAGTACATCTTATCTTTCATAGCATCTAATCAAAGAGGGTTCTTATAAGAGATGTACTACTGAAAGTTGAGGCCTACAGTTTATTGTTACACTGCTAAAAGAGGTACAGATACAATACTGTATGAATTCACAGGAGGAAAAATTGTGGGTTGTGATGTGCAGGAGGAATGATTAAATTCCTTCAAAAACAGTCAGAAGTGCCACTGTCATGCACACCCAGTTGCAAACATTTAGGTTGAGAATGGATAAGTGATGAAAAAGTATGAAAATAGATTAAGCATTTTGCAGATGGGAATAATAATAGTAGAATGAATAACAGCAATGATACTAAATGCACAGTGACAGTAACAACAAAGAACCATTAGCACATTGATGCCATGGAAGTCAAACATTGATGCTATACAGTACTTGCACATTATAGTACATTACAGTACTTGCTCCCCAGTGCACATGCACTGGGGCACTGGATTTAATTTCACCTCATGGAATCAATGCATTGATATTCCTCTGTTGCTTCTGTTTAGTGCATCCAGGATGAGGTCTACCATTAATGTCCATATTGTCATTTGCAAAGTGGCCCTCTGGCAATTTTGCATAAATTTTAGTAAATTTTCTGAAACCAGGTGTGCAACCTAGACTTTTGGTATGTCCCTAACAGATTTCAAAGACCATGAGGATCAACATTCTCCCCACATTGACTAAAACTGACAATAGATGACTTTCTCAATGTTTATCTGTCTCAATGGCCAAAAAATGAAAATATGGAGCTCTTATACTCTACCTAGAAATGTATATGTCAAGACTATCAGACAAAAAATGTGATTGCACAAGGAACCTTGTTTTCTACTCAACACTTCATGTCTGACTTTTGGTCAATGGCTTCTGTGACTTTCTACAGTCATGGCACAAAAGTGATAATATAGTCAACATCAGCAACTCAATAATGAGGAATTAAAGAAGCTTAACTCATGAACAAGAAGGAGAAATGATGCTACAAGACTCATGAATCATCTTCAGTGAGTATATCATTTTGGCGAAGGGGCCTCCACCAAGTGCACCTCTTGTATTTCAGATGCAATAAGTACTTACCAAAGATTAACAGAAGGCATGTCACTGTCATTCCTGGTTGAGATTGAAAATATAAAAAAAAAACATCAGGCATGTAGTTGGTCAATCATGATCAAGTACACTATCAAAATCATGAAACTTTTCTTACCAATTAAAACAAGGGCAACAATGTTGAGACTTTCTTCTTCTGCTCCAGTGTGGGAGGGGATACAATGCTTAGCTCCTGAGGGAGAGAGATGTGAATTTTAAAACTTTGATGACAATCATAGTTACTCAAGTGTGAAAGGAAACAGAATGAAAATTCTTAGTTTTGCAGGGAGACTTATGTCATTAATTCTTTAATTAGCAGATGGAAATTTAAATCTTCACCCTCCTCATGAAGGCATCATTGGAGGAGGCATTTGCATCTCTTGGGCATCAGGAGATGCCAATGCCAGAGAAAGGGTTAAAATATTATGAACAGTAATGGGATAATTGATATTACTTCATTATCATGAAAGAGGACAATGAATCCAATAATATTACTGACCAGGATTATTGTAGGGACCAGAGAGAATGACACTGGGACCACAGTCACCCTCCATGAATTCCATTGCTTTTGCACTCCGCTTGAATGTCACTCTCAAGCCTTCCAGGGCAACTACTCCTAGGTAAAAATAATTTACATAAACATTAGTTGGGCCATTTCAGAGAGCTGCTAGGTAAATCTCTAACTTACCTAAAACTGTGCCAACTGTAGAAGCCTCAACCCCAAACCTGAAGCATACCTCAGAGTCTGATTTCTCTTTCTGATTGTCTTTCCTCAAGTATGACTAACATGAGAAGGAAACATGAGATCAACAGGAATCAGAATGACTCAATTGGGAGCAGAGGAGTGCACAAAAAGTGATCACTGCAGTACAGTTCCTCCACCTTTCTAGGAGCTGTATTGCATTACTGAGTACTTTAATAGCCATGTTTCTTCTACTCCCATGTGAAATTTCAGCTTTTTATCTAATGTGATTAATTTTTCTCAAGGACTTCCTAATTCCAGCTGGTTGAATCATATGACCAAATATGGCTAATTTTTCAAAAGAGAAACAAAAGGCTGTCATTAAAATATTTTACCTACACAGGCTATAATGCTGCCAGCATTCACGAGCAGTCTGAAGAAGCTTGTGAAGGGTCTTTCCCTTCCAACAAGCACAGTCCCTAGGTGGGTGCAGCAGCTTTGAGAGAGACAGCCTTTCATTCCTCTTTTCAAAACATATCCATATTTGATCAGTTGATTCAACCAGTACTGAAAAAGTCTGTCAAAAATTAATTACATTAGATACAAAGCTGAAAACTTTAATGGGTGTAGAAGAAACACAGGTATTTCAGACTGTGGTTCCTGGAAAGATGGAGCTGTGTCACAATGATAACTACTTTTTGTATGCACCTCATAGATGGGATTAACACTTCATTCTCACCTTTCCTGGAAGATGAATGGAAAAATGAGAGTCATCAGTGGTCAGCAATGAAATTGTGAAATTTGGAAAGGACTCCCATGGTATAGCAGTAATATTCTCCCAACAAAGAGCACTCCCACCCTCAAAGAATGAGGTGTTCACATTCAAATCACTAAGAACATCTATCATGATCTTCTTTACATTCTCCAGGATCTGCAAAGAGGGCATTCTGGACTTTGTTAAAAAGCACAGATCAACAATTCCAAGAGACATATCCAAACTAATGCCAGTAACACCACCTGTGTATTGTCACTAATTTTTAGGGAGAGGCAAAGAGTTCTTTCATATGAAATCAACACAGCCATATACTTGACCCCCTTTGATTTTGGTGAAATTCCATGGGCTTGCAAGTTCCATTGAGAAACTAATATGAAAAATTCAACTCCCTTGATCAAGTACTTCTTGAGGCATGGTGATCTGAATATTGCCAAAAATGGCAGATTTCTGGTTTGGTGTTTATCACTCAAGCACTCATGTTTTGCCCCAATTAACTAATATGAGATTGGAGCAATTTTAAAACTCTTTTGATGCCATTTCACACATATCTCATGGAGTCTGGAGGAAAACAAAGCCAAATATGAAGAGGTCTGACCTTTGATAAAAAATTCTAGAAAGCACATCAATTTTATTTGTTAATTTATACAAATTGAACAATATTTCCACAATTTTATCTTCATCAATACACCAAATTTCAATTTTTAACTGGAATGGAAGCAAAACATATGGAAAATAATGCAGTAGTAAGTCATGTTCTAGTCAAGACTAAAAAAATGAAACTGACCATTTCCCCCTGGAATTCTAGGTCAAAGGTCAGATCTCTTGATGTTTGATTGCTTTCACCAAAACCATGAGGCACATATTAGATAACAAGACATTAAAGGTTTCAAAATGATACTAATTTCATTGAAGTTAATTTAGACAAAAAGTATGAGCACTAAAGTGAGCCAAATCAGCCTAGAAATCAGTACTTTTGGCAATATTCAATGTGCTGTACCTCTATAAGTACTAGATGTAGGGAGCTGAAATCTGGTATAAAAAATTTAGTATTTCCAACCAATCCAATTCTTAGAGCTACTGCTCCTGCCAGTAGCAAAAACTGACCATGGGTACACCAATAATGATACCAAGCATTGGGTAATATCAAAAGGATCAGTATCACCTGATACCCACTTAGAATACCAATATGGTTTACACTTTCAACCCAGTGGTCAGGAATTTCTCTACCTATCCCTCCAGGCCAGCTTCCAGAGGAGTGGCAGGCACAAGCCTCTAAATCTTTCTCCTTCCAACTATCTACAAGAGACGACAAACAAACCCAAAGGTTGAATTACTCCATATTTATTCATCAAGACCCTGGCCTTTCTGAAATTAAGCCTGAATCAGTAATTGGACCAGATTTTCTGGATTCTGAGAAATCATAGTCTTTTCATTAATGCATGATTTTCATTTTTTAAACAAACATGAACAGGTTTCAGCCAGTATTAAAGTATTTGCTCAGAATCAGTATCAGTCAAACCTAGATCCCTACAACTGAGAGTAGTGAAGGCACTACAAGCACCATGTCATGAATTAATTAAGACCAATCTAGGAAGGTCATAAGTTATCCTTCCATTATTAGCAACCAGGAGGGATTGAATGGAAATTAGGGAGGCTTTTGCATTGCCTTCTTCTCTCTTTCTTTCTTTCTTTTACATGACTTGTATAATTGCCAATATCAAAGTCAAAGCACTGGGCCACATGAACAAGAAATTTGTCTGCATACATTAGGGGGAAGTCGAAGGTTAGTGGTTCCTGAATCGACAATGGTCTTGTCATGGTTCAACTGCCGACAATCCTCTGTGACTCGGTGAGAACCAACCAGGAAATCTGTCATGGTCACTTCATAAAACCATTCCTTCACAAGTGGTGCAGTGTAAACTTGCTTGTGATCTTTGGGAGATGGGATGCCTTCTCCTGATTGAAACAAAGAAATAATATACAGATGAAAACTATGCACAAAGATAAGGTATAGTAAATTAGGGTGATTTGAAACAATTTCAACTTACAAATAAATGCTACTGAATGTGATATTATCTTTCTCATATAAAATTAAATTTTTGTCTCAACAGCCCAGAGAAAAACTCATTTTGCTATGTGATAGTTAACTTCACTTCTAGTAGCATTAATATGTCTGTCAAGATATATTCCAAGTTACCTCACTTTATGGTAACTGTAACTTTCAAATAATGAATACATTATTTTACAAATGTAACGTAGGAGCCACTTTGAGGAGAGCTATGGCTTGTATTAATATCTCTCAGGAGAACCTCATAGTCAACACTTGGAATGCTTTTCAAGATGTACAGGGTTGGCCAAAATAAACTTGGGAGATCCATAACACTTCATGTCTTAAAGTTCACTTCACTTTCAAGAGTCTGTTAAAATTATAACAGCATCTCTGTATACAATATATATTCAGCTTCCTTCTGGTGGTAAGCAATTTATTATAAGGGGGCAGATTTGTATGTGCTAGTAAGTCCTAAAATATCCATCTGGATATGCACATAAAAATGCCAAAATATGCAAATACTATACATGTTTTTTTTGAATGTATGTAGTACAAATTTTTTGAACGAATCAACTCCAATGTACATTTCATGTCACTACTAGGTATAGTTGGTCTATTTTTGTCACAGCCAGCAGCAAAGCCAGGAATTTGCCAATGGAGGGCTAAGGGAAATGAATGGGGACCAGAATTTCCTAAACTTCTTGGGAGGGGTGGAGGCAATGGATGAATTTAGAGCAGAGTTAGGGGGCTTCACCACCTCAACCCCCCTCTCACTAAGCTACTGGTTGCAGCTCATAACCACTTGAAAATTTTCATCGGTAGCTCATAAAGAAAACTCATTTTGCTGAAAAACCCTTATTTTTCCTATAAAAATGGGAAAAATATGCATAAATATGCACATGCTGAGAAAAATGTTAAAATATGCATTTTTTCATTTTTAAAATGGCAGAGATTGCTTCCTCTACCAATTACCAATGAGACAGGATCCTATCTGGGCTGCATGTTCCTAGGAGGCTGCAGAAAAAATATGCATTTGCATAAAAATCTGCTTCCTATTCATAATGTAGAACATTATGAATCTACTTTATGACATTTACTTTATAAACATTATGAACATACTTTCTCATGCAGTATAAAGTAATCAGGGGTAATGCTTAAAAAGATAGTACTGTGCTACAATGTTGACTTGATGCATGCAAGAGGTCACCAACTAACCATGATCGTTTCAAATAAGCAACATGTGCAGATAATGCACCTCCATTTGGCATTAAAATTGGAAGAATGGAGGATTGAAGTGTGCATTATGACTTGGATGATAAATGAAGATATAGCTCTTACGGCTGAAAATAGTTCCAGGCCAAAAGGTAAGAAGCCACAGTTTCATTGCTTTGGTGTGAAAATTTGGAGCCATGATTCTTTGACATGTTTGACAAGGAACCAGGAGGCCATCTCAATTTGTTGAAAGAAAATCAAGGACACTGCAGTTAAGAAAATGAATTAAAAGGGAAGACCCCTGAACTATGGGAGACCTAAGTCCATCATGACTGTCCAAAACACTGGAAAAAATCAGCAAAATTGTTTACTTTCCTTGAGAAGCTTCAACTGAGCAACTTGCATATATATTACCCCACACATCATGCTGAAAAATTCAGCCTGGAAAAAATGCGGCTGCTTTCATACAAGATTTCAATGCATCAAAACCAGACAGTCCATCAGCAACAAGTCCTTTTTTTTTTTAAATCCTAAAGGAAGAAGTTAAAGTTAAAGTTAAAGGTGATCACAAGTTTAGGAATATTGTCTGGTGCACAGATGAAGCCACTTTCTTCTCTCTGGGCATGTCTGATGAAAAAAGCACAGTCTCTTAAGCCAAGAGTAAGCCTAATGAAATGCATGAAAAGACATAGCATTCCAAATATCTTTGTTTGGTATGCCTTTAATTACATGGCCCATATTTTCTTGAAGAATTTGGCCAACACGTCTATGCTTAGCATCATTAGGAAGTGCTGCAAATATTATTTGTCCACCCCTGGAAAAAGGAGCTTATGCAAGCATGATTTCAGCGAGATTGGCTTACTAGTTACATTGCTGCACTCAATATGGACCTTTTCTAAAGAGCATCTGACTTAAGAAATGCACATTTGCCTTATCCAGCCATCAGCCCTGACATGACACCTCCAGAGTCTGGCTTTTAGGAGAACTCAATAGGCTTGTAGGTACTAATAAGCTAAAAGATTGGCAAGACTTAGAGAAGCTAATCCAGACAAGAATCCATATTGTAGACCTTGAAGCTGTCACCAAGGCTGTGAACAATGCCCTAGCATGACAGCAAATGAACAAGTGAAAAAATGAAAATCATCTGTAGTAAATCTGATATTATACTGGTTAGAACACTTGAAGCACTATCCCTGATAGAGTTCATGCAGTTGCTTGAAATGTACAGAAATATTTTATGAGTTAATACTAATGAAAAGCTGAATAAATACACTCTACAGAAATGCTATTGGAAATTTATCAAATTGTTGAGAACTTTTGCAGTGAAGCATTAGAAATATCACAAGTTTCTTTAAGCCCACTGTGGTGTTATACATGTAAGGGACATCAGCATATTGAGGGTTTTGCATTTCTAAAAAAAAAAAATTTTATTAACCCTTTCTTGAAGCATACAACAAATGAAGGTCTTGTGGTTGCCATGCATGATTGCCAAGGCTTTTCCAGCCTTATATTGTGACACTGTGATTGTGAAATTAGGTTGATAATAGAACTGAAATCAATTACTCATTGCATTATAAAATCTAATCCATCCAAAAATACATCCTGATGCACTTAAGACAACACCGATACTTCAACTATTGGTGTGGTCCCAAGTGACCCATGTCCAAATTGGATGTACAATGTCACTCAAAAGTTGCACACTATAGGGAATTTCAATGTTGAACTGTATTAATTCTTTTTTCTTTCTTTCCAGGTAAATGACAACTGCAAAATTAACAAAAGAAGAGAAGGTGGAGTTGGTTTTCATGTGTGGAAGGCCAGGCACTTCAAATTGATCAATTGCTGTTGAATTTAATGCAAAACACCCAGAGAGGCCTCCAATTATAATTTACACTATGGTGTGAGACTTTTGGACCACCTTGTACATGAAAGAGTGAAAATGATGACAATGTCATGATTTCAGTGGTCTATTCTGTCTAACTCCCATATTGGAGAATAAGAAAGTTCCTAAATTCCCAGCAATATCTATACATTTTTTTTTAGGTGAGTTCATGAATCAAAATCCAAAAGAAACAATGCTGAATTGGTTGAAGGTCCCAAGACAATCTCAAGTTGCATGCCTACTGACCAGCAAATAAATAGCCATGATGATTATCTTGCTTGAGATCAGATCCACAAAGCTGAAGTTGGAAATCCAGGGGAGAACCAGTTGCTTCCTCTACTTTGGATATCCATGAGGATACCTCTGGAGATGGCTTTGCAATGGCCTGATAACCGAGACCAAGAATGCCCTGGGGTAAACATATATATCAGGTTTATTTTCAGTTCATAATCTTAATTTATTTAAGTAAAACTGCTTGGAAGGGTCCTGCCCTTTGACTCACTTCACAACATAGGTCCCCATCAGTCAATACATACTTGATATTAACCCTTTCCCTGGCAGGGATATCCAAACGTTTGCACTTGAATTTGAGTGGCCACCAGGGAAAGGGCTAAAATACTCTACTTCTGGGAGGCAGAACAAATGATTGCCACAGTGATATATTTGCCATTCTGGAAAATTGCTAACCCCAATGCAGCACAAGGCTAAAAAGCCATTGTTACTGCATGTAGTCCTTCAGGTTTTGGAATAGCCAAAAGTAAGATCACAAAACAGAGTGAGTGTGGAAATCTCTCAATGTTACTAGCCTGCAATACAGAGGCAACAGTCAAAGCTTGGTGTGGAGGTGCTTGTTGTGACACAGAATGAACCTCAACCAAGCAATATGAGGGTGTTTTTCTGTTATGCCCAGCAACAAAAAGGGATCAAATGGTTAGCATAGTACTGCCAAATGATAGCAAGGCCCTTAGCAACAGGGTGGGCCAAAGTGATTCCTTGCTTACTTCAAAATATAGCATATAGAACATTCTCTGTTGATAGTTGGGGTTCATTTGCACAAGGACAATGCACCTCCACACTTAGCTCTGACTGTTACCTCTGTATTGCAGGAGTATTACACTCAAGTGCTACCACACAAACCCAGTTCTCTTAACCTTTCTTTCCTTGATTTTTGGCTATTCCCAAACCTGTCAGACCACTTTCAGGGACAATGATTTCCTAACCACACTGCCTTGGGATCAGCAATTTTCCAGTAAGGCAAACATACTGCATTGAAAACCTTTTTGTGCTACCTTTCAGATATGGGTATATTGCTAGCAAATTTGTGTGGACAAAAAGGAACTAGGTTGAAAAGTGATTCAAAGGACAACACTCCCTCTCTTCCATGCAGTTTTACTTAAAAAAATTAATGGCACATAATTATTGCATGCACTTTGCACACATAATGCATTTTAGAAACATGACAGTAAAGAAATATTAGAAGACAGCATTACAATGACTAACCTGCCACTGAGAACCATTAAGAAAGAAATTGGTAGAAGATAAGATGACTGCTGTGTCACTTTTTACAGGAGGGATACTAATGGCTTCCAACCCAGGTATGGAAATGACATCCCTCCCCAGCTTTCCCTCCCATTCTCCTTGAGTGTAGAAGACCCTGATGTCTTTTCTGAGCCATTCAAAGGTCCTTGAGCTGAACAGGGCAAAAAGAAAAATACAAAGTTAAAATAGTTATAGCACTTTACAGAAAAGGGAACACCTTTCATATCCTCATATCCTGACTCCTGGCCACATTTGAAGTTAACAAATGAGAATTTAAGTTTCTACAGTAAATGTTGTTCATGATGTCAACATCACTTTGCCTTTGTTATTATAAGTGACAGGAAATTCAGGTCAAAATTGCTAGTAAAGGCTTAACAACCCTCACCTGTCAGGATTGAACCACTTATCAATAAATGCTGCATCATATCCAGCTATAGCCAGGTTGCTGCTTCCAGTGTCAATGAGAACCTGAAACTGTAATGGAACAAAAGTCAATTAAATTTTAAAGTTAAAAATGATGAATAGCCTTTTTCATGCAAGGCTTACATGAGCAATGAAAACAGGTATGGTAAAAAATTGCCCAAATAAGTCCCTCTCCTCATCAACACATGATTATCTTCCCCATTCCAACCCCTTCAGTTGTACAGGCCCAGGTAACCCAGAGCTGAATTAATTAATTAATTTACACTTACTTCATGAACTTCTGTTTCTTGTAGGCATGTCCAAACCTTACTGTCCTAAGAGCATTTTTAACCCTTTGGCTGTTTGCCTGAGTACACACTCAGGTTTATGTAGTGGTAGCATGGGTAAGTTCTCGGGGTCAGAACATTCACTGTTTCTAGGTTATTTCATAGCTATTTATGCATGTAACTGCTATCTTCAATAGTTATCAAGATATGACATTTTCTTACATAAACTATTGTTTTTAGACAAGCAGGGCCAATTTTCTTATGAAAATGAATCAGCTATCCCCCCTGTGTTATAACAGTCAAAAGGTTAAAACAGAGAATAAAAGAAACTTTAATAAAGAACAGTAAATTTTGAAAAGAAAAAAAGATGAAAATTAAAAGGAAAAGATGTTACCACTTCAGCCTACTTCTGCAGACAATTGACTAAATATTACATAGCAGCAGCAATAAAAGCTATGAGAGAGAAACACAGTAAACTCACAGACTCAGCAGGAGTACCAACAAACAGAGACAGGTAATACCCATCTCCAGGCACTCCATGAAGTTCTATCCCATAATCATGGTTTATAGATCCATTTTTTTGGCCATTACTTGCATATGTAGTCTGTGTAGTAAATTTTGAAAAGATGGTCTGCTTCTGAATGTTGTGCTGGCCATACTGACGAAATCCAAAAAGTTCTTCTGCCAATGACTTCCAGATGATAAAGATCTGCCACACAATAACATGGGCAGACCATGCTGTCTTCATTGTTCACCTTCAGCCACACTCATTCATATTGACACATTTATGTCTATTTATCAGGCAGTAAGCAGTAATCATGTCACAAACAAATCAGGATATGACCATATTCTCTGCAAATAAAAAGAGTCAGAGATAAGGTGGGGAAATCACATCATGGTTGGGCTCTTAGATCACTAGACTCACATAACAACAACATGCTAGACCTGTGTGTAAGCATCATTATAGCCCATTTGAACTTACTTCTGTAATGACCATATTTCAAGGATCCACTTCATTTTATACTAGTTAGCTGGCCTCCTTTGAAAATCATGAGCAACAAGGAGGATATTTTAGGACTGTCTTGAAAGAGTTCACAAGTAAATTAATGGTAAAAGGCATGGCTATTACACATGAAGAGGAAGAATGGTTTACAAAACTAATTTTTTGCCACAAGTTTTCAGGCAGATATGAACATTTTTCATTAAGCCCCCCCATAATGGGATACCTATGAATGACTCATGCAAATTCTAGTTCTGCATCTCCTCCTACAAAGAAAAATAAGTATTCTGCAAAATCTCCCAAGAAAATAAAAAAATGAAAACCAAACCTTATAGTATACAGAGGTTATGACGTCAAATCAAATTATATGAAAGAACAATCCTGAGGAATGGAATGTAAACCTAGGACTATAGTACTCAGTGGATGGGACTTGATCAAGTCCTAAACCACAGGGGGGGTCAACCTTATTTTTTTATTTTCAAGTCTTAAGTTGGAAAAAGTGAAATAAGTGCATTAATATCATAGTCAAGTGGCCATAGAATACTACTGAATATTCCTAAAGTTGAAAAAAAAAATTTGGGCTTTCAAAATCCTTTGTGGTATTTGTGGTCACTTTTGACAATTTCCAGGAATTATAGAAATGCCACAGGTCAAGCTTGTTGTGCAAATAGGTAATGAGGCTCATACATTTTCTATCAGGCATAGCATTTATGATGAATTGAATAATTAAACTTTAGAAATCACTGCCACTCAAGGACAAGCAGTTGTAGAGTATGTTTCAAGTAAATTCCATGCAATAGCTGTTCTGCTTCTATTCACTGAAAATAGTGGAGGGAAGAAGAAAGAAGCAAAAAAAATGGAGTAAGCATTTTGCTGCCATATAGCTGGAGCTTATTTATTCCCATTCAACATTCTACAATCAGATTTCAGCACAGATCAGTATATTTGATGTCAAACTTGCTGAAAGTATGATTTATAAGTCCTCCCATATTGCAGTAAAATCTAGGAAAAAGCAGGAGCTATGCTTTTTGGGAAGGGAGAGGATGCATAATTCAAGGATCTCTCTTGCGTTTTCAGCAGTTTTGTCATAACCCCACCTCAACCATCAATACCAAGGAAGAGAAAAAACCTGCAAGCTTTTGGAACCCTACTTCAATATCCTGGCCAAGAAAATGTAAAAAGGTTTTCCACAGACTTGCAAGAAAAATATTTTAGCAGACCCTTTGTTTGCTTTTGCTTTAAAGCCTTAAAAGCATTTTTTTTTTTATGAAGCAAAATGACCCCATCTCACATTGTTTGCCTGATAAGACCCCATTGTACAAGTCAGATAAGTGTTTTCAAGAATTATGAAATCATTGTGCTTTGCTCTTCAGGAGAGTTCAACAGTTGACTCGAGAGGCACAACAGAAGCTGAGCTCCACCAAATCGCCACCCTCAACAGGTACAAATGTTCCTTGAGGACTGCATGTCATTATGATTATAATAGGTATATTGTACATGGGCTACTGAAATATAACATTTCACCTTTTACTCAAGCAATATACTGCTTGAGTAAAAGGTGTAATTCTTCATCCCCTGTAGGGGATGAAGAATCACACAAACCACAGCTTAATACTTATATGATATATTACTATGAATGAAATTGGTGTGTCCCAGTATCCAGGCTAATAAAGTATGATCAGGAGGTTATTGACTACATTGACTAATTTCATGATTCGTGGTGTATATTACACTTCATGCAAGAAAAACATTCCTAGAGATGAAGTCCACATTTAATCTGCTTCTCTCTCTTCAAGATAAAACCTTGTTGAAGAAGTCTGATGTTTGGATGTTGAAGAATAGCTTCTTCCCCAGGACAAGGGTTAACCAGGATTCCCTTTCCCAGTGGTTAGAGCAAACCTCACCATAAAAGTCTTCAAAGCTAATCCCCCTACCCCTCAGTGAAGGCTGATTCAGCCCGTCAGAAAAACTGGATCTGTTACTAAGTATAACACTGAGCAACCTAACGGCACAAATATCGTTTTTATGTGATTGAAGGAAAACCAATACCTCTCATTTACGGTAGGCCTACCGATGGTTAAGGCACCGGAGGGGCCTAGTCTTTCAAACCTGCATGAGGCACATCTTTAAGCACACCAGAGTGGGAACACAGACCCAATGGGTGAAGCGAATGGGTTACTTCTAAGCTACGGGCTGGTGCCGTTTCCGAAGTTATGCTAGAAATCAGTATTTAGAAGTTATGCCTGCGCATACAGTGACTTGGAAATTAATTCATACCACCTTATACATCGAGCAATGTTTTTCCTGGGCAGGGGGAAGGGCAAAGAGGTCAAAGTTCGTGTATTTTGACAAAATGTGAAGACGAGGGCATGATATGATCGCCCACGACAGTAATAAAAAACCTCTGAAGTGCATGTTAACCGCAGTGTGAATTCATTAACAAACCACTACAGAACCAAGAAATTCTAAATAACGTTAAAAGTATAGAAAATGACAAATAAAAACGCATGATGAAGGAAGCCGCCCTTGTTGTGAATCCCTGAGAGTGTTGTGAAACGCATCGGCATGTTTTCACTTACTTTTATGAATAATTTGCTTGACAGTTGTCAGTATTATTCCCCAAAATAGGGAACAACGCTAATGAAGTCGAAAAGCGAAAGTGAGAACAAAAACGTCACTTCACGAGCATTATGATAAGCACCATTTTTCTGTTAGGTCATTTCCTTTCGCCATCCCCACATGTGAACCTGGATCGCACGTGTCAGCCTAGCCGGTTTTTTTTTATTTCTTGCCTCTGACTGACTTATTCACCTCGATTCGTATAAGCCCCATGGAGTCCCTACTTTTTTGGGTGGAAAATAGCACATTTGGATCAGTTCAGGGCATCTCAAACTATTAGATGCTCACATTCAGGTTAACTTGCAGTGATGGATTTTATATTTTGCGTTGTATGAGTTGTGGTTGATCTAGTGACAGACTCCTTTATCATATATGGCCACGTTACGGCCTCGGCAAATGTAAGCCCACTGTATAAACAGCAAATCCCTCTTTCCTGCTAGAAGAAGCCCCACGGATTTCTCTTTGGATTACTAGTTTGTGCTTGACCAAGATTTCAAAAAAAGCTAGAACCTGATGTGGGGCTGAACTGTGAAATAGGCCTGTCATAGGTGTGGTATACCCTTGTGGAATGGTACGTTTCAAGAATCGGTATATTGTATGCCGTGCAAGGCAGGAGGGTGAAGCAATAGCAATTGCTTCTGCTGCTGTGCATGAAGCAATTTTGCGAGCAGTTGAAGCTCTTCATGGCAATTTTGGATGTGCTTCAGTTAAAGGAGGCTTCAAAGGTAAGGATCATGAGCCATGACTGGTAGGTATAGGCATTGAATTTTCTTGTCAAAGATATATTTGATTTGGAATTGCAAAGTTATCCAGTTTGTCAAATTGTGTTTAATTGGGATGATTTGAGCAGCTGAGTTTCTCCAGTTAATAAATTCACCCCATTCACAGGCACCACATCACTGCAATGGTGTAATGAGTGCCAGCAAGCACTCATTACACCATTGCAAGCAGCTGAGTCAGTTCCTGATGTGGTAAAAAAGTGTCTATCACTTGAGGTGGGGAGGCATATTGCACCTGACCATTGGAAAATGTTAAAAATTTCATGTGTGCTCAGCATTGGTGTCTCATGCACATCCTCACTTTCATTAAATTGAGAAGTCCAGCTTCATATTTCACCCAATTGCAGTAGATGAGTTAATTTTTCTTGCTATTAACTTGCCAAGTTTGAAATGGTTTGTCAAAAGGTTAATTCATTAAGCTACATTATCTACTTATTACATTCTCCTTTTTAATATGTGCATAGATTGCATAATTCAATTCTTGACACTCATACATTTTATTCTCATGAAAGAGATTTTGTTCATTTGTTTTTCATAATCATAAACTAGGACTAGTGCATGACTTGTACAAAGATGTACATTGTCCTGGATTGAATTTGTACCACCCACCTATAGCAGAGAATGGAGGAACCATACATTTCTGGAGGTTCTACTTCATCATGTAATAGACGTAACCACCCATGTGTAAGATGTCACTACCTGTAATCGATGCTATAGGGGGGTACAAATTCAATCTGAAAACAGTGTATGTCAAAGAAAAGCCTTCCAAGACAAGAAACTGCATCTTAATCAAACACAAACTTTAAGTCAGGATGAGGTCAAGAATTGTTGAAGAATTGGGAGAAATTCCATTCCTCAAAAGTGATTAATTGGATTTAAGGTCCAAATGCACAAACCTCATTCAGGGGAGATAAAGTGGTCTTTATGCTAAATGGCTTTTTTTTTTCCCTTTATAGGAGTGCGTGTGTTTGCATAGGACCATTAACTAAAGGAGCTTTGTGCATTCAGGCCTTAGAAACCAAATCATTAGTCATTTTCTGAAAGTAGTTATGGAAGCTACAGAGTAAATTTCAGGTAAGGTGTTATGAAAACCCTAGTGCCGCAAGCTTTGGCATCATACTCATGATACTTTGATTCAAGTTCTATATTAGAGTTGTTCAGGAGTATGTGCTATCTGTCATTCAGTTTCAAATCATGAGATTAGACTGATACTTCATAGATCATTTGTACTGGGAAAGTCAGAACCCCACATTCATACAGAAAATTTCCCTTTTATATAATTTCTTTTTCATGTTGCAACTGACTCTAATGACATTTCTGGATAAGTAGAATACAAGAGACATGCTGCCTATTGCAGGAACCCCTAGCCAAGATTTTACACCTCTAGTATGGTTGAAATATGAACCACACTGGAGGTGTTACATCTTGGCTGAACGGTTTATCCAAATGGGTGGCTATGGGGAGAATTGCCATTCAGGAGATGTTTCTACTTGATTCCACTTTGTGTTTTTCACATGATTAGGAAAATTTTTACATTTAACTCCAACATTTGCATGGACCTTTCTCATGCATGAGTGCCCAAGTCAAATGAAAAATGTCTCACATGTGGGGAAAATATTGTCTGCTACAATGTCACCAAATGTTAGAACAGGATCAAATTTTCACTAGGTCTTCAACCTGGTAGTCCATTCAATAAATGAGAGGATTTCAACTAATTTGCCTTGATTTACAGGCATAAAATCTCATAAATTTTTGGATGACTTTTGTACAGACTTGACCAGGTGTTTAAGATATATCATTTGAGAGTAATACTCCCACTCATATCAACATTTTAGTAGTATTTATAAAACACCTAATTATTTTGATTATTTGTGACAAATGTAGAATCTCTCCTGAATTAGCACAATCATATGTTCAGGAGAGTGAATAATATCATTATTCATTAATAGCAAAACTAGTTGGCCTGACCTTCATGTCTTCTTGTGATGAATGATTTAATGATGCAGCTTAGTTCATATAATTCTCATGTAAGTGATTTATATGTTCTACATAATCAGAATCATTTATGCCAAGTAGCTATCAGGGAACTTTTGGAGACAAGGAAGACTTTTGTATCATTTAAAAGTGTAAGTGATCCTGATGTTGCTGGAAAACTTTAAAGGTACTAATGTAACAAAAATGTTTCAAAATTGTTCAGGAAGTCTTCTTGATGAACTGGATTATATTGCATAAACTGAATTTTAATCTGATTTTCTATTTCATTCAAGTTATTTATGCTTGCATTTGATCAAATGCAGTTTCCTAATTGTAATTCTTGTAATTGTCTGCCTCTCTTCCAAGAAGATAAATTGTGTGTTGCCTCAGTCAGTCTTGAATTTTTTTTTTAACAATGCTGGTATAGCCTCTATGTTCAATTTCATTTCTAGCATTTAATGAATTTTCCCATTTATTCTCATAGAATTTAGAATTGTGGACATTTCAATTTTTTTAAATTGGTTTCTCTTTCCCTTTTGCAGCAATGTTTCTGCAATACTGTTGACAATTGAACAAGGAAATTATTGAAATGGTGCTAATATTTTTCTCTTCCATACAATTTTTTCACCATATTCCATGTTCAGTTTGTTACAGCAGCAGTGGTGCAATATTTGTTATAAGGGTGAGACTGGGTCCACATAAGCTGCTGCTATCTAGTCTTCCATTCTTGTCTGATATCAAGAAGCAACATGTGGTGTTGGACACTCTGTATATGGGTGCCACTCTTCATCATTGTTATAAGTTCATCAAGGTAGGTATTGTGTTTCAGTTGAGGGTTGGGGTGGAAAACTTGTAAAAATGAGCAAAATTGAGCCTAATGGGATGGAATCCATTCACTTATGGTAGACCCTGAAACTTCAACACTATCCATTTCTTTAATGGAAAGTTTCAATTTTCTCAGTGTAAGGAAGGTAGGTTTCTCATATACATATATGAGCCATGCATGAAACCAGTAGTGATGAATTTCAATGATATAGGTATTTAGAATTCCATGCTCTCTTGGCAACTTGCCATATTTTTTCAAGTTCATGTAAATCCTTCTAGGATGTGGTCAAATGATCAGTAGAGACCACAGAAGGCTGATACTTTTGTTCTACTTTTGCATCATAGTTTTTAAAACGTTGGTATGGAATAATTGATATAAAAGTGTTTGAAAAATTAATGAAATGGTTTTTCAAAAATAAATCAGTTGCTGATTAGCATAAAAATTCAAACAATTTCATGGCTGTGTAACTAGGCTTTCCATGAGCACAATGAAGAAGCTGATGGAGAAATTCTGGTAAATCTGTCAGGTGCATAACCTGCCAAAATCAGATTTTCTTGGAGAAAATCACTGGTTAACAGAGCTGTGGCTGAGGTCTTCAGTTGTTCATCCTTACTCACCCCAAGTTTACCAACTTTTCACAGGATTTGTTCCTTACTGGTTTTGCAGAATATTTCTTAAGTAGCTCTCAATTTTGTTCTTGGACATTGCAGCTGCACAGTCATAAAATTTAAATTTTTTCTTGCATATTGTCAATAGATTTGTTTTGTTTTTTTAAAGACTACTAACAAATTTCACATATTTCTCTATCATTCTTACTAGAATAATTTTTCAAGAAGTTGATATGCACAAAGGATACAATTATTAGTGTTCTAGGGTTCCAATCTAATCATTTGACTATATCCTATAATGATTTTCACTAGGTAAAATAAAAGTAACAAAAGTTGTTTCTTTGCAGAAACTCAGGATCCAAGAAATATCAGATGCCATAAGAAATACTGAAGATCCTGAAGTTCGAGCTGAGCTTGCAAGGTCACTGGATCGTGCACTGGATGCAAAATGACTCATCGAAGAGTTAGAAGTCTGTGTACAAATGCCTATAGGCACAATAAGTACAACAAAGCTTGTTGTTTTTGGATGCCCAGCTGTGGATTTCTTGAAGGATATATGTTTCTGATTGTAGTTGAGACGAATGTGAAAGTTTAGTGCTATGTGCCTCATCACAATGGGAGTCATTCAGTCATGGAAAATTAAGTTCCTCTTATTTATTTCACAGCTCATGCAGTATTGTGAACTCGTGGGGCGGGCGAATATGTTTAAAATATCTGACTAGCTCAAACAAGATGTGCTTTGAAATTATTTTCAGTCAAACAGCCCAGAAAGGCTTACGTGTTGGCTGTTGAATAACGACCTCTATGTATTTCTTGGTTTTCTTCATGGCATCTTCAGTTTCGCAAAGTTTTCTGAGATTTTTGCCGTGGGATTAAAAGAATGCGATCTGAACGAAATCGCACAACAGTCGATGTGAGTTTAATTACGTTCTTCAGACTGCATCCAAAACCTTCATTATTCCAAATGGGAGTATGGCTACGCGGACCACAACTTGAGCACATCAGTGTGTTTTCCTTGGGAATGACAGTTGTCTCATGAGCTAAAGATTCTTACCTCTGAGTTCTCATTCAAACCTGCAAAACCGGTTGAAAACCAGAATTTACAGTGTGACACAAATCAGTTGACAAATGAAAAAAAAAACTTTACCTGAAATCTTTGTTTTTGCTTGGCAGGTGCTGACTTAATACGCTTAGCGGAAACGCATACCAACCATGCTGACACCAGAACAACGAGTTGAGCTCGTTGTTCTGGTGTCACCTCGTCCAATCCACTGATCACCAAACACGTTATTCAGTTTCTGACGGATCGTGAGAGCAAAGTGCGCAAAGAGCAAACTCGTTGTTCTCGTGTCAGCATGGTTGGTATGCGTTTCCGTAAAGCGTATGAAGTCACCTCCTTGCCAAGCAAAGACAAAGATTTCAGGCAAAGTTTTTTTTTTTTCATTTGTCAACTGACTTGTGTCACACTGTATATTGAAAAATCAGAATTATCATGCTGGTGGGTATTGAGAGGGAAATTTCAAAGGAGAGCATATTGCACAGTCGCCTCCCCCCTTCTGCTTCCATAAATTGGTTGCAGTATATGAATTTCTTTCTCCTCGATTCATCCTTGCCCTTTTTAATGACATCCTCCTGAAAATCCTCACATTGTCCTCGTTCAATGAAAGAAAGGAGTCAAGACCTTGCAGAGGAAGCGAACAGATGGAGCGCGTGTGATGAAGACTTCTAATTCCGAGCGGCATGAAAAGGCGAGGCTGCATCCTTGCTGGATAATAATTCGTCAGGAGGCGGTTTCTAAAGCGGGTAATCTCATTTCACTAACAAATGCAGCCGAGATGAGGCGCAAAAATGAGCCAGGGAAACCCCCGCGTCTCCGTCCTTTGATATGCTAATCTCTCTTGGGAGACCTAGCTGCCTCTCATGCCGATATGAAGGTTTTCTTTCTCAGAGATGGAAACCCATTTTCTTGGCCCCTCTTCTCGTGATTCCAGCTCCTTTTGCCTAATCCCGAACTCATCGTCGCATATTTTTGCATCCGCAGAGCATATGTGTGCTTCTACTTGCCACTTTAGGGGGAGAGGCGAATGAAGTTAGAGGAGTGAGACAAGGGGGAGGTAAGGTGATGATCCATTATCTGAGTCCCAAGGGATGGATACTGATGTAACTAGCCCCATGGACGTAGTCCCATGTGTGACATGGTTACAGATATGAATTATGGATGAGGTCTCAGGTGTCTGTCATTCTTCGAAGCCCAGCATCATCGTCTCATTCGCGAACTACTCCATATTTCGTATCGATCTAGTACTACTCCCCCGACACCTTCAGTAAGTGGATTTCCATCCACAGAATGCAGTTGATGGGCGAGAGGAGATTACGATGGGATAATGCGTTTAATCTCCATAAAAGGAGGAGGGAGGGAAGATGAGGATGAAGCTGATGAGTGATGAGACTGGTTTGTCGAAGGAAGTCGATCATCAGCCGTCGGGATTCCGCCAATTACTCCTCACACCCCGGGGTATCCATCTCGCTCTGTAGACCACACCATTATCGCATACACTCTTCTCGGAATTGCCGGGAAATTGCTCGATCAGAATAGTGGCGTCTCAGGCGATAGATGGTGAGGTGAAAACCGTCATTGATGTGGCGATAAAAGCAATTCCTCGTTTGCGTTTTCTAGTCTGGTAAGGGAGCTCCTTTTTTTTTCTTGCTTTTTCTCTCTTTACTTTTTTTTTCGAAGAATCATCATGCATGCGGAATTTTATTACTATATTTTTATCCCATCTGAGCCACTCATATTGGAATTTCGAAAAGAAAACCTCGTAGTGTCGAGCTGCAAAGCATTCAGGTGGTATCCGAAACGTGAACTGCGTGACTTACACACTGCTTCGAAAGGTAACGATTTCATTTTCATAGTACGTAGGGTAATCAAAAAGTCTTGTAACCAAGGCTTCGCTTCAAAATGCAAAAATATAGCGGAAAACCTGCGATTGCATCCCCTCAGTATATTCCCCCTTGACATTTATGCGCCGCTGAATCCTCATTTTCCACTTTTGGAAGGCTTCACGGTAGTCAGACACGGGAATACTGGACAGCTCTGCCCCTGCAACCTTTACGAGCTCATCTATCCTTGAAAATGGCTTCCCAGAACTGCTGGACATTCACGAATAAAGCAGATGGACGTCTCTGGGAAGCAAGTCGGAGTAGGGTGGGTGATGAAGAGATATGCCCTGCCGGTCTAGGTAGGACGTCCTCAGCTTTTTGTTGCGAGGGCTAGCATTGTCAAGGTGGCGTAGCACTCGTCATGTTCCTGCCTTTGGTCTTGCTTACTCAAGTTCTGTGAAAATCTTGGGCAAAACTTTCTGAGTTTAGGATGCATGTGTAATAGTTGGAGTCATTGGCATGATATCAACAGCCACAGGACATTGAGAATGGAAGAAGATGGTGAACATCCCCTTCTGACTTCGAAAACCGGGCCTCAAAACTTGAGATCAAGGCTCACCGAAAGCCAGACCAAGTTAGACAGCTTTCTTCTCATGGTGAATAAGGATATTCAACATTGGTCACCTGTGTAAACGTGAACTCTTTCCAATTTCTGTTTGTTAGGAGATAAAGAATCCATCTAGCATAACTCTTGGGCTTTTTCAAACCGTCATGAACAAGGATGTTGGCATTTCCGCAACTGATGCCAGGCTCAAGAATTTTCGAGTGACTTCAGGACATAGGTCAATAATGGTATCAACACGAACTTGCTTTGCTTTGTTCACTGAAGTCCTTGGACGTCCAGATCGAGATTCATCTTCACAGTTCTCCTTCCCAGTTTTGGATTCCTTACCCACCTCGCAACTGTGTCAAAGAAGATATCCTCTATAAAATATACCAAATTCTGATGGACCTCTTTTGCTAGGTGCCCAGGCTTCCATCGAGTGAATGTAAAAGAACAAATAAGCATCAGGAAAGAAAATCCCTGGCATCAGATGTTGCCCTTCAACCTTCAGGTTTTTTTGGTTGCATACATTTTTTAAATCGCCCCTCGTAATGGTGAATGCGAGTCGGTTGTTAGAGTTCAGGAAGAGATTATGTTCAAAAGAAACTGTACTGCACAAAAAAAAATCAACAAAGATTTGAAATGGGAGAGAAAAACTTGAAAATTCTATAAAATGTTCAACTTGAATGACAACGTTGGTAGCGTACAATTTTTCTAAATTATAGGTGACTCTGAATAAGCCAATCGATATGGAATGACGCCGAATCGGGATATAGAGTAAAAAACCTGACCTGAAATTGATTTAGAATTGAGCTGACTGCGCCCAGAACGCAGCCAAAGGAAAACACTGCGCGGAACAATGCTTCGATCTGAAAAAAAAGAGTAGAATATTGTACCAGTAGAGGCTCTTAGTTCCGACTGGATTAGAGAGGTGCCTCGATTATATTTATAGTTTCCAAAGAAGAAGCAGGATCATAAATTGGAAAGAAGGGGAGAGTTGGGCAATGCTCAACGGTGGCACGGTGGGGAGCCATCATTGTTTCTCTTCGCTCGGAGCAGGTGGGTCTTTCAAATCTGACCCTGTGGGCTATTTCCGAACAGGCAAAGAGGAGCAATGCCGAACGTCCGATATTCTGTCGGTATTCGCAACATGCTAATAAATTTTACGATGAAGCATTATATTTGTAATAATCCCATATCAAATTTCGGATACCGTGTATACTCGTATATACTTGAGCAGAAGAGAGGCTATTGATGAAAGGAATCTCTAAACCGTGCGGTGTATGACGGTTAAAGTTTACGGATGACCTCAAAAGAGTTTGGCGTTCTTACGAGGAAGTAGCCATCCTTTTTGTGGCAGAAATGCTCAGCGCTCTTCCTGAACGTAAGAAAAAAATGTCTGTGAGGACGAGATGTGCGATACATCACATGTTTTTCTGTTCTGTGACGAGCAATACACAGAGTCACTAAAAGATTAGGTCATGTGCTTTCTTTGCGATACGTTTGCGACTCCAGGGGCCTTTTTCACGAAACTTCTTTAACTTTTCTTTATCTTTATTTCAGCTATATTTCGTCTTTATCTCGACTCAAAATAAAGAAAAAATAAAGACACCTTTGGAGGTGTCTCTATCTCGACTTTAACCTCTCTGAGGGCTACGGAAACTCACCTGTGTGTAATCTTGATAACATGCCCCAAGCGTTGCACGTGCATTCTTTCTGCCACTTGTGACGTACTGCTCTCCGTGTTCACACGACCATGACTGCAAGGCTTCACCTAATTCGAAGGCAACTTCGTCGGGAAAGAGTACTTCGCGACCTCTGAGGCTCCCCTTTCATCGTGGGAACAGGGTGGGCCAGCCCATTCAAGGGGAAGGGACCATCACAGGATGACCCTTGAGGCTCCCCCTTTGCAGGGGGAACAGTTAACACTAGCACGAGACAGCATGTCTCTAATGATGTTGCCATGGAAACTAGGTCGGGTAAAAATTAAAGAGAGCCTTCGTGAAATGAATTTTGGGTTTTCCATCCAGGATGAATCTGCTCCAGAGTCCTTCATCGTCGTCCTCTTCCAAGGGGCTTTTTCGGTCGCGTAGTACGAGGTTGCCTTCGAATTAGGTGAAGCCTTGCAGCCATGGTCGTGTTCACACGGAGAGCAGTAAGTCACAAGTGGCAGAAAGAATGCATGTGCAACGCTTGGGGTATGTTATCAAGAATACATAGGTGAGTTTCCGTAGCACTCAGGATAAAGTCGAGATAGAGAGACCTCCGTAGGTGATTTATTTTCTTTTTATTTTGAGTCGGGATGAAGTCGAAATTTAGCCGAAGTAAAGAAGGAATAAAGTCG